GTTACGGTTCTGCTAACACAGATAGGTGTTTTGGCTTGAAAAAATGATATTTTTGTGGTTTGTTTGTTTCTTTTTTAATTTTGACACATTTTAAATCTCTTCCCTTGCAGGTCTGTGTGGTGTCCTTAGTGGGATTTGTTATGCTTTGTATTTCATACCAACCTGATGAGAAGACGTGTGTGCAGTTCACAGTAAAGGTACCTTGACTTTTTTTTAATTTCTTTTTCTTCTCATATCATTAAATATAATCAGAAAAGTTGATACTTGGGATATTTTTAAGACTACATGAAAAGAAGTGAAAATGCACCTGAAATGCAAGAATGGTTTTCTGGTATTTTCCAGGCAGCTAAGGAAGAAACTGTAGCCTATAAAGGGGAAGCTTTAATAACAAATATTTCAAATCAGAGCAAGATACCTTTCTATTTGCCATGTTTTAAGAATATCAGAGAGATTCAGATCAACAAAGCTGGAATAATTTGGCAAGTGTTCAGTGAAAGATTGGGGGTTACTGATTAAGTAGAGATATTCATAGAGAGCTGGGTAAGAAGTAGGGTGGCATAAAATGGGTCCACTTAAATCAAGTTTTAATTTTTAATGTGATCTGAGAAGCATCTCAGCATCTTCCCAGCAGCTTTGCTCCTCACCATGAAATAAGAAACTGTGTGGGCACAGGCAAATTAAAAAGCATGACTGGAAATCTCCCCCTGCCCAGCTCCATGGTCGAGGAGAGAGAGGCTGTACCTGAGCACCAGCAGCTGTGTCCCAGCGCCTGGTGCCTTGTGTCAGGATCAGACATTAGTGAACATGGGAAAGCGTTAGCAAATCATGGGGACAAGCGTTCTTCCATGAAGCAAATTCCCATCTGAGCATCGCAAGAGCGGCACAGAAACCATGCACCATGCCCGCCTTGGTCCCCAAAACTGTGCTTTGCTGACACTGGTAAGCGACTAGAAAAGAAAGGCTGAGAATACTTGTTCCAGATGGGACGTTTTTATCACCATTTTTCTGGACTGTTTTTCCTTATTATTGTAATTTTCAGGGCTCTTAATATTTTGCAGACACATAATAACTGAGAAAAATACCAACGCAAGCAACACAAAATAACAGTGATTATTAACTGAGAAAGGCAGAAGGAAATCAAATGCAAGGAGCGGCTTTTAGAAACCTGGCATTCATCCTCCCTTAGAAATTAGACCCCGGTGTGTCTTTTGTGCTTCTCTCAAGCTTCTCCCGTACTTACATAAAGAAAGGGAGAAGAAGAACAATTGTTTCTGCCCTTTGATTGCCTTTACATTCTCGCCCCGTCACCTTTACACCCGCTAGTAAGCGGGACGGCTGCCCGGGGAGCTGCTGAACTGGGCGGGAACTGCCACGCCAGGCTTTTTATTGCTTGCCCTGCAGCATTAAATTGAACTTGGCATCCAAGCAGGAAGGGAGTCATCCCTCGTGGTGGGAACGGCATGTCGGGCTGGGCAGCTCAGATGTCTCTGCCACCCTTAGCGACACCACCCACCCTGGCAGGGAGGAACGCAAGCCATCGCTGCTGCAAGGAAATAAACGTTTTTAAAGTGCTCTCCAGGCAATGTAAAATGGGTTATTCCTCATCACCTGGAAGAATTAGGGTTAAAGTCTCCCTTGAAGGACTTCTGGTTCAGTCAATAGCCCATGGACTCTTGCCTACCCAAAGCACCCTCCTCCCCAAAATCCACCTTCCTGGGGTTTGCTATTGCAGCATGCCAGAAAACTCAATCATTCCGAGGCTGTTCACCTCTCCTGTCCCACGTCCCCACCGGAGCCGTTATCCCACAGTGCCTCCCTTCTGCACCAACGGCTTCTGGCTGCAGGGCACATGCCTGTTTTAAACAAAGTAGGAGCTAAGAGTCTCCTCCAAGGCTTTGATCATACAGGACTCATCTAAATCTCCAGTATCACTTCTCAGATCTTCAGATGTTAGTTAAAGTCTGTCTCTGAACAAAAAAATGAACATTAGCTACTCGGCGACAAGGCTGAGAATGCAAAATTACAATCATGAGACAAAGCTGAGCAACTTGGGTCGTTCTTTCCTCCTTGGGGGCCTGATGCTTCATCCAGCACTACGGTTGGGTTCAGCCCTATCTGCCCTGACTGTCCTCTCGGGGACTTGCTCCCCAGCCCAGGCTCTGCCCCCATGCTGGTGGCTGATGCCCACCGAGGCTGCACATGGCTGCTGAGAACCATCGTACAAGAAAATCTTAGCCAGGCTTTCCTGGAGTGCAGTAGGCACCTCGGCATCCCTTGCATATCCCAAGGGTCACTTTGGGAAGAGGACCACACACACACACAGGCCTGGGGGATTTTAGTCAACCCCCAAGGTTACCTTATGACTACCGTGCATGACTCCCTCAAGGTGGGAAATGGGAGGAGACCCATACAGTCCTCTGCTTTTCTTCCTCTCAACAGCCGCTTCTTTCATTTCACACTTGCATGAGGCCTGGATCCTGTTAAAGAAGGAGGTGTTAAAACTGCTTTCGGCAGAAGTCTCTTCCTGAGACTACTGCGGGTATCCGCAGCACCCTGTGCATCCATGAAAAAGGGAGACCACCACCCAAAGGGAGGGCGGCTTTGCTCTTTGGGGGGACAACGGTGAGTCCCAGGTTGAATTTCTGCCCCTGCCCCATCTCTGTGTCTGCAGGAAGCATGCCCTGCAGTACGGCAAAGCAACATGCCCAGCTGTTTCCTGTGTATTTAGACATGGTGCTTAGGGACATGGTTTAGTGGTGGACTTGGCAGTGATAAGTTAATGGTTGGACTCGATGATCTTAAAGGTCTTTTTCAGCCTAAATGATTCCATGATTCTATTTGAAAGAGAAGATCCTCTCCCTTGGCAAAAAAAACCAAAAACCAAACAACCACGACATAGGAAAATTTTGAGACCTCCTGTGGGCTTCCTGGGCTATCTGCTAATACTTGACAGATCACTCACCGTGGTCCTCATCATGGCATCTCCCATGGTAGCGTGACACCCTCTACTCCTACCCACCCAGCCCCAGCAGCCCACGCCACGACACACACTGCAGTTCCTGTTCCCTGCACGGGCTCATGCCTGAGCCACCATTGCATTCAGAAGGGGTCCCCTGCATCCATGTCTGCAAACCCTTCTGGTTTCACCTCTGATAACTATGAGAAGCCTTTTCCATGAGAAACTCAATCCATCTTAGGTTATTTATTTTCTTTTTGGCACGGAGCAAAACTATTGCCAGTAAATATTGCTAAAATGTTTCTTCTTCATATGAGGAACCCAAAGGAGGATGAGCTGCCATGGTTTGACCTCACCGTATGCTGTCTCTCCCCGCTTCCCTTTTCTCCTTCTATTTAAACAGCAATCGCAGTGCCTATCTCTGAGTCTGTTAAAAAACAGTTTTCCAGTGGCAAGTTCTGATTCCTGGGCAGAGCTCGCTACACAGTTGTATTTGCGATGTTGAAGTTGCCTCCAGGTCTGGCATGTGATTAATCTGCTGATGGGATCTCAGCACTCGCTGTCTTGTGCTCCCTCACAGGCAGTATTTGCATTTGCCTCACCTTTGATATTTGGAAATGTGTTCACTTTCAGCGGCTCGCAGAGAGATTCCTCTGCAAACATCTTGTGAGAATAATAAGCTATTTGGAAATTGCCCTATGTCCCCACGCATCTCTGCTCGCCTCTGAGGACTGCTGTAAGAGCTGCCCATGTATTTGGTGTGTTTCAAAGGGATTCTGAGATTTCCTTGCCTTTAGGTACAGAACAGGCAAATGCTTGCTTACTGTACCTGGAGTGCAGTAGTTTAGGCTGTGGATTTAATGCTATTTTGTACTGACTTTGGATAGAAATTGGCAGCTAAATAAAATACCTGCCAGGGAGAATCAGGCACACTGTGTAGTCTTGGCTTAATATCTCATTTATTAGGGGGGCCTGATTCTGTCTCCTGCTGGTCTGAATCCAGGGACTTCCAGCCAGTCTGCTAGGACTTCTGCATCGCAGAAAAACTTCGGTCCATCAGAGAAGAGGAACGGTCATCAGTGTTTGTCCATTTTCCATTTTCCCCATCAAACACACTTGCACCATCTTTTAAAGTAATGCCACAGGCCTACAAATTACCACATCTTTGTTTGCAGGGGGTCCATCAGTCAGTAGCGCTCCCTTCTGTGTGCTTTATATGAGGAGGTGTCCCCATTTTCCAACTTCACCTTTCCCATGGACCTTTACCTTGAAAGCTGCGGGGGTAAAGTAATTGCATTTAATAAGAGCCACCCTCATTTTGAAGCTGTCCTTGGTTTAAGGCTGCAGGGGAAGTCATTAAATTTAATAGTAGCCAAGTCCTGAAAACGAAGGTCTTGCTGTAAGAATTCAGTGATATGGGGGAGAAAATGTATATAGTGCTTTAAGATCTGCAATAAGCCCAAATATTTTTTTTCAAGCTGGCAACTGAATAGGAAGATTGATTCAGACTGTAGATATAAGACAAATACACCAAGAGTGTGAATTTTATCAAGACATACATACTTGGAGTTTCAAGGTCATAAAAAACGCTTTTATATTGATAGTTTGCTTGTGGTATTGAGGTTAAGAGAGAGAGAGAGAGAAAGAAAGAAGCTGCTGTTTAAAATAACAGATTCCCGACCATGCCATGTGTCTGACAGAAAAGATGCCAAGAAAAAGAAATGTTTTTACAGTGCTGAACAGAACCAAAAATGCTATTTTGGCTAAACACAGAATATTATTTTAATATACATTCACACATATCTTGTATGCAGCACGGCAACTGCCAGTTGCAGCTACCAAACGCACGTGAAGTCCATATGCTCTGCTATCCAAAGGTCTCAGGTGCAACCCGGAGTGACAAAGGCTCTGAATCGCTGCCGGTTCCCATGCGTTTGCGGGGGTGGACTCTGCACAGCTACCCTTGATAAAAGCCACCCTATTTTAAAGCTGCCACTGGTGCAAGGAGTAGGGGAGTGACAAAACGGACCCTTGTCCTTCTCACACCACAGCAGGGGCAGCATGGGGAAATGAAAGGCGCTCTCTGCTCTTTCATGCCTTTGAAAGACTTCTCCACTTTTATAGGGCAAGTTTTGGAAGGGGATTGATCACTGTCTGATTTGCAAGTATAAATCCGATCTGTTTGGGCATGCAAACCAAGAGCCGGGAATAACACATGATCAAAGTTTCAAAAACACCTACTTCTCAGCACAGCCTGGGATAATATGTCAGCCCAAGCCTCGGTCTGCTCAGCTCTGTTTCAAGGCGACTGCACTCATTTATCTCAGCTGACGACTGTAAGTCTAGCCAACACAGGTACAACGGTAGAGGAAGATGCTCCCTCCCTCTCTATAAAGCTTCTGGCTGTATAGAGACACAGATTTCTTGGTGCTCTTATCAGGTCTCAAAATTGCAAGGCAATACTCATGGAAAATATGCAAGGCAGAACTACTAGTCCGGGAGTTACAGCCGTCTTGCAATTTTCAAAGCGCACAGTGTCCAGATAGTCCATTGAACGTGCGCATTCCCTGTGAAGTACATGTGCATGCATTCGTTCTGTGTTCCTAACTCTCTGCATAGCTGGAAAAAGAGTAGTTTTTACTTTTTTTTTCCTTCTTTTCCTTTTTTTTTTTTTCTTTCTTTCAGCTGATGTATTTTCTCCTGAGTGCCCTGGGTCTGGTTGCCTGTGTTTTGGCAGTGGCTTTTGCTGCACACCATTATTTGCAGATGACAAAATTTACCTGCGATACCATCCTCGAGTCCTGCCAGTGCAAACTGGACACGACAGACCCCCTCGGTAGGACCTTCGTCTACCAGGACGCGGCTGACTGCGGCAGCCTCACCAGCATGCTCAACCTGTACTTACTTCTGCAGATGGTTCTCAATCTGATTGCAGCCCTGGTGTGTCTGTCGGCATGCTTCGTGATGTGGAAACACAGATACCAGGTCTTTTATGTGGGCGTTCGGTTCTACCCTTTAACTGCTACTGGAGGCCAGCAACAGAAAGTATAGGGTCTGAGCTGGCAGGGGGTTGTAGCTGGGGAATGGAAAATGTCAGCATGCTGCCACCATAGACACCACGGATGGATGAGTGTTTATAAGGTTTTTGACAAGGAAAAACATTCACACAGGTTTAATGAATATATTTTTCAAGCATTTTAAGAGCATTTCATATGGCTGCTCTTGCAGAAGGTCCCTTGTGAGACTATCTAGAGGTCATAAAGTCCTAAAGATGCAGCTGTACAAATACTCACCAAAGAGGATCTTTAATAGCCATAGACAAAATGAGAGCTTAAAAAATCATTGGGAACGCATCTGCAGGGCTACAGCAGTTAAGAAATAAGGTCCATTTCCCTCGCTAGTAGGTATCTGTTCTTGCCTTCCAAGAAGTTACACCAGTTTCTACCAGATAAGGATCTGGTCCAAACTGCTTAATTATAATTATGCTGATCACGCTTAAGGAATATATTGTGTCTTGGATGCTCTGCTCCACGCTAACCTGATGGGGATTTACCATACAGAAAAGTAATAAGGGAGGTCAAGACCTCTTCAAACACAGGCTGAGACCAACGGCAAAGTGAATATATTGATGACTGCCATATAAAATATACATAAGACTTTTCAGAGTGACTAATGATATAGGTGACCTAATCCAATTACTAATAAACAACAGTATGAGTGGGTTGCCTAATGGTGATTCGCTGGGCCCTGCTTGAGACCCCAGACAGATTTCTGAAGTATGAGCGCTCAGCACTTTGTAAGAAAAGATCAATTTAAGAAACCTTGAGTTGCGCTCCTAAAGTGGAGCACCCTAAATCACTAGTCACGTTGAAAACTATGTTGACATTGCTGTAATTGCAGGCTCCCAAACGCGGCATCTGGCCAGTTCCACCAATTATACTCCAAGCACAAAAGGCCAAGTGCATTTTTGGTGTAACTCCTCTGAAGACAATCAGCCTTAAACACCAGCAGTGGAGTTGGGCCAACAGCCCTGAAAGATATATCCCTGCAACAATGAATGTTTTTAAAATGGGGTGGAGGGAGGGAAGCGGGAAGAGACTGCCAGTCTCCCAAAGACATCGTTTATAATAATGAGGGCAAGAGAATAATGATTTCTTAATAAGCGGCATAGAATAACAAGCCACATTCAAACGGTGCTTTTTCACCCTGAAAGTGTGGCTCTAGAAGTGCTTTATGTCTTATTAGCCTTATTCCAAGCCTTATACTGAGACAAGTATGTTGGTTTGTCCCTCGAACTGTCATTTCCACTTGCACAGCACAGACTTCTAAATGTAGGAGCGATTCTGAAGCAGCAGCATTTTGCACTGCCTGCTGATAGATGTGCGAGGGTGAGGCAGCTGGTGCTCACGCCCTGCCTTGACCAGGGATTTCCCGATCCCCGCCAGAGCGAGGGTGTTTCTGAGGTGGGGTGGAGCAATCACATGCCAGAAAAACTGTGCCACAATCATTAGTAAGGAGGAAGCAAATAAAATTTCTGTAAGGCTTTAAAGAAGCAAAAACTTTCTTTTTTCTGCAGCAAAAATAGCCTCCGGGGATTCAAAAACCCAGTCAGGCAAAAGCTAGTTGTCTAAGTAGCTCTAATCCTACCCCAAAACTGTCTTCCATATGGTGATCACACGCCATCCCAGGGCTAGAACAGCGCACCTCCAGGGTCAGAAGATCACAACATAGTTAAGTCTCCCGTGGACCACCTAGAGCACTGCTCGGTGTATGTACTCAAGTTTTTGTCATGGAAAGTCCTTCTAGAGTAGACATAGCATCACCAAGGTGCTCTCTGCCAAGCTGCAAGGTGAGGAGCTTCAGAAAATGAAGGTTTTTGAGACCAGCTTCCAAACGGCCTTTTTTTACACACCTAAAAATAACACTAGTAAGCATGGCTGCGGGGCACATTTGCAAAGGTGCCTGTTCGCTTGCGTACATGTCGCCACCCATCTGAAGTCCTAAGCCTGGCTCCCAGGCACGCTCGGAGCAAGCTGAGACAGCAGTGGAGTGTGCGGGCGGGCGGGTTGGCAATGTAAGACCCGGCCGCCAGCATCCACAGAGCCGTCTCTGTGGTGGCAGGCACCAGCCCGTCTCCCCCAGCTCTGGCGAAGCGTGCTGCAAGCAGCGCTCGTGGACCTGTGCCAGGGCCAGCCTCCCGTATGAGATGGGTATCTCGGGGTGCCTCTCACCTCCTGCTTGTACTCAGATGTTGGTTTGTCCCCCATCCCTCGCACAACTCCAGCTGTGCTCTCTGCAGAAGCGTCGGGCAGAGGATATACCTGCCTCCCACCTATGACCCTTGCTGCGTTCGCTCCTCCCTCCGGCCGAAAATGTGGGCTCTCCTTTCTACAAAGAAGATAACAAGAAGCGGGAAAGGGATAGAGGGGAGGCTGAACAACAGCTGAGCTTTGGGCCTTCCTCCCGCCCTTGCCACCAGGCGCTGTGCCCCGATAGCTGGCGAAGCAAGAGGAAGGCTCTGCTGGCAGAGCAGGGCATGCTTCCCACCCTGCCCTTTCCCAAATGTCCTTGTTGTTCAGAAGATAACTTGGTCTGGAGCACTCTAGCTTAGGCTGTGCTGCGTGCAGGCTGGCAACAGCGAGCTGTTGTGGGAGGCAGCTGGCCAGCCCCAGCCGAGCGGCATTTCCACCAGAGCTGGGCTTTTGTCTCCTTAATCCTTTGACCTCCGTCTCACCCACATGTTTTCACTCCCTGTCTCCCATCACCTCCCAGGCACTGGGCTCCCAGAGGCCAGTCCCTGTTAGATGAGGCTGGGCTCACATTGCCTGGCCTCTGCCTACTCACACCTGGGCTCAAATTTACTGGGACTCCTCTACAGCACAAAAGACGTGGCGGTGATGAAAACACAGTTGCTGCAAATGCCTTCAGTGTGGCAATGGAGAAGAGAAGGGATCTGGATAAGAGAGCCTGCTCTGCTGAGCAAGCTGTGCACCCCATAACAGCGCACCCTCCGCTTCGAGCCACCGCCGCTGAGTTCGGTTCCCTAATCAGCGCGTTGCAGCTTAACCCTTTGCTCCAGAAGAAAGCAATATTCATCATATATTCTGTTGGTATTTTAATGCTTAATGAATAAATATGGGGCATTTTGATCTAGCAAAGACTAACTTCTGTATTTCCTCTTTATATATCTCAAGAGCATAAAATCAAAACAGGAGAGGTGGGGACATGGACACGGTAGCATTTGGAACCGGTTTCCCCCTGGGTATAGTTTTACAACATGTATTTTGGTTGGATCAAGAATTTTGGAAAGTACTAATTAAAGGATTTTCACCTACCACAACATATTCAGACAGCTCCCAGCCTTTTCCCGGTGTCAGAGTCCACACAGACTGCACCAGGAGAAAGACTGGGACTAAAAGGCTCAGAAAGGACAGAGGTGTTGAAGAAAAAACCACTTTTTTTAAGTCCTGGAAATTTATTCTCTGGGTGAATTCCACAGAAAGGGGTAGGATTAAACTGCTATGGACACACAGAATTTGCAAAGGGCTTGATGTAATTTACTCTCAGAAACCCAGGTGAGATTCTCATTTGCACCCTGGCCACTTTACACTGTTTTCCCAGTGTAAAGGGGTTGTAAAGACAGCATCAATCATTTTTACACCTACTTTATGGCCATTTTACACAGTTAAAAGGGCCCTTTGTGTAAATGAGAACTCAAGCCCTAGAGAATTTAATAGAGAGGAGATCCTTTCTATAGACTGTGCTAGACCCTCTAATAGGGTCTATTCCTGGGATATAACTCTCCGCTGGATTTTATAGCTTGTCTTAAAGATCATCGGGCTCGATTAAATTCAGTTCTGCAAAACTTTTCCAAAGGCCATAACCCCCGTGACATGCCTGCTCCTCCACCTCGAGCACACGCAGACAGTGATGGTGGTGCCTGGATAACTGCTTGTTTTTTAAAAGGAGAAGCAGCAGCTACCACTTTCCTCTGGCTCTGAGGCATTTTGATGTTATGCTATGCAAATACTGGAGCGACAATAACGGCAACGAAAAGGGAACCGAGACGTGGTGCCTTACACGGAGACAAAATGTCACATCCTCAACCCCACCAGGCACCGAGGTGGCACCCGCTCCTGACGGCAGGTCTGCACTGTGCGCCCCTCTCCCTCCCCTGCTGCTGCTGGAAGGACAGGGGCCAGTGGGCGAAGGGGAAGCACCGCCGGGGCTCTCACCAGCCCACTCCTCCCGCCACTGACTTCACGTGACGGCCATCTGTGCCTTGCTGGCCCGGCCGTCTCTGCGTGGGCACCACTTGGAGCTTTGCCTAAAAAACAGCTCCGTGCAAGAGCGCTGGAAACTGTAATCAACTCACAGGACTATTTTTTTTTTTTTTCACGCTACCAGCCAGTGCAATATTTGCTTTGGGGGCCTTTTGAAACAGAAAGCATGCTGCTAGCGTGTGAGAGAAGCCGCAGTTCAGATCCTCTATATTTAGAAAGCCAGGATGTCATACCTCCTCTTGAAATTTTCATAGTCCCCTGCACCCCACCCACCCACACACATACACATGCTTGCGTCTGGAAAATGTTTTTCAGTCTTAGCAAAGGGTGTTGGCTTAGGGGGATTCAAGGGAGGTGCAGAGGAACAACAGCAGCTCAGTCCCGGGCGCGAAGCTCGAAGCCTCCTTAAGGCACCGGGTGGCATGGCAGGCAGTGGGCACCCACCGCTCCCCGCCTGGCCCAGGCGGCTGAAGTTGAGGATCTCTCCCGTTGTCAGCCTGTAACATAAATCCCAAGGCAGGGCCAAGTTTTTCTGAGACGTATGGAAGCCCTCTGCCGTGTCACGTCAGGCAGCACTGTTACCCTCAGCCGACAACATCTTCCTGAGCGCATTTTTTGGTGGCCACGCATGGACTGTAGCACCTGTAGCAAGGGCTCCAAGAAGATGCATTTTGGTGTTAGTTCATCTCAGGTCTCTACAGTTTGTCTCCCAAGGGTTTCTGCTTTCTGCTCTGCTGCTGCCTCCTGTAATCACTAATCATTAGCATTTATCCTCTGTTAAATTGGCTCTGTAGTCAAATACTATAAACAATTGCATCTAG